TACAACCATCGTGGCAGATGCTTGACCAATTCCCTGCTGTTCATGACGTTCTTCAATCTCTTCACGAACAAGAACAACAACATATTACCTTCTGAATCAGCCCCTTGTGTACTACCAAGTAAAAATGAACATAAATTGAAGTTGGGGATATCACTGGTGTCACACATAGGAGAACTAGAAATCTTCCTTCTTTTAGGTTTTGGAAGCAGTTCCGATGCATCAGATGAGATCTACAAAAGCAAGGAAAATATAAACATAAATAAAACTAATATAGAACACACATTAGGCAATAAAACAGCTAGTAATCGAATTGCAGAAAATAATTACCTGGTCTAAGTGTTGCGACATAGACGGTGTTTGCATTCCAACAGATCCTGTATCTTCATGCAAAAAAATAAATAAATAATATTGACTAAATTTTATAAAATAATACCAACACACTTAACACCTGTCTGCGAGTCAACATGTGTGAATATATGTATTTCTTCTTTTTCATATTGCTGCAGAATCTCACCCAATTCTTTTCGAGCTGCCTCCAGTCTTTCTGAAAAATCATTCAAAAACATAAAAAATTAAATAAAAAATGTAAAATTTCAAAATGTAAAAAATATACTTCGATCAAATATAATAAATTCATGATCTATAGAATACCTTTACGTTTGTCTTCTGCTGTGGTTTCCCCAGGCTGCATGCCTTTCTCAATATCAGCATTTCCAGCATCATTAAATTGTGAACCAACGTCGACGACCATTGCAGTATTCTCTGGAAGGTTTTTCTCAACTCTACCTTCATTCAATTGAGCATCATCAAAGAGTTTTTGAGTTGTGGAAATTGAACCACGACTAATTTCAACTTCCACTGCATATTCATAAAAGAGGGGGAATAGATCAACTAGTTTTTCTATATATAAAACATAGAAAAAATTTATGCATGTAGTGAAAATTTCACCTCTAGAGCTGAAGTTCGACAATTACAAAAAAAACTTCATCTCTAGAGCTGAAGTTTGACAGTTATAAAAAAAGAACTTCAGCTCTATAGCTGAAAGTTCACCAGTTACAAACCAAAACATTCACCAAAAAACATGTTGTAGTTTTTACAAAAAACACAAACACATGAAAACAAAACTTCAGCTCCTATCTAAGGTATAATTGAAATATTATAAACTTCACACTTTGTACCTGTAGTAACAACTTATTGTGTATCACCACCTAGAAGTTCATTGCAAATCACTATTACTCATGCATAACGATCGTCTTTCAGATTTAAAGTACCAACAGGTGCTTGGTTTCCAATATCACTTTCCAAAGCATAACTTGGTGCATGTTTTTCAGTGCCAACAACTTGATCATCTGCACCTTTCTCTCCACCTTTACTCTGTCTACAGATATTGGATTGCTCATCTCCACCTTGTTGTTGAACATGTTCAACGCCTTCAACAGCCGCTTCATTATGTATAGCATTATCATCTGCGACTTTACGCAATGCATCATGAGCAGTATGTTCTTCAGTATAAACAACTTGATTATGTGCACCTTGCTTGCTTCCAATATTCTCAGTTAATAAATGTGCTTCATCATTTACATCTCTGCTCAATATATCTGCACTGGAACTGTGCTCTTCAACTTGTTCTTGAACATGTTGATCGCCTTCAAAAGCCGATGGATCTTTGTAACAGTCGTTCCTCCTGTCATATACTCGATGCTTACTCAAATCAAAATTGCCATCGTCCACTCCATTTGATTTGTTGACAATCATAAACAACTGTTCAAACTTCTCATCGAAATATTCCTAGAAACAAAATTACTAACAATGATTAATCTGAAATAAAATCAGCACAAATAAAAAAACTTCTCTATAAATTAGCTTACCTTCACTTTTACAAAAACCGCATCCACAATAGCAGTTTGTTCATCCTTTTTAAACTTATAAACTTCATTCACGATCGTGCTTCTTTTTTTTCTGCATGCCTTTGAACCTCCGTCATTAACCTCTACAATAAATACACAACAAAAGNATCGACTCTTTGTAGGTGGCGATTTACCAATGACAGGAGTTCGATTCAATTCTTTTGATCGACTCAAAGTACGTGGTGATTTACCAGTTGAAGGAAATGCATTAACTACATTTGAACGAATCTGGCTGCACGGTAATTTCCCAATTAAAGGCATTGAATTCAATTCCTCTTCTGTAGGAATTATATCCAATACCCTAAAGTCGCGATATCTATGTTTAATACAAAAAAGTATATTATGAGGAGAAAAAAACTAATACATCAGCATATTAACACATATACAAAAATAAAAAAAAGTAACTTACTTCATGAGTTTTGAACATATAATAAAGTTCGGGATATTTAGGCTCTACCACGCATACATAACGTAACATTCTGGGGACCTGAGGCATATCAAGGTACTCATCCTCTGCTACATACTTCTTCCAAACATCTGGGAAGCGCTCATAGAACCAAACACATAACGGATATGGAAATCCAGTAAGTTTATACTCAGTTGCATGATGTTTGTTCTGCTTGTCCATTGCATGTTTCAGTGAATAAATGAGCTTCTCATAAGCCACATTACCCCAAGGATATTCAGCACAAAGCTTCTCGACTTCAACGATAGATGCATACTCCTCAATCACACATGACTCGGTATTTTTTCCAAATAGAATAGACTCTACAATAAGAATTTCCATAAGCTTAACTGCATCATCATCACTCTCGCATACGTGTGCATGATTCATAACATTCTTTGGAATTACATTGCGAGTCATAAAACTTCGAATATCCTTCAAATTCACACCCTTAGACTTACCAAAATAGCGCTTCAGAATAGTGCTCTCTTGATTAAATGGTTTTTCAATATTATGTGCTGTGATCCGCAAACCACACATAATGTGAAAGTCTTCAAGGGTGAAGGAAACATCATGCCCAAAAATCTTGAAACTAATGGAGTCTCGATCATTCGTGAATATTCGAGAAAGACACAGACAATGAACCAACTTCATGCTGCATTTGAAATTCTCCATAGCAATAATGTATCTAAATGCACCATTATTAAGCTTATCTCTTTGTGCAGGACTCAAGAAATTTGCAATTAAACTCTTCAAATCATGGTTCCCCTTCCAGTAACCCTTAGAGTTACACCATTCTGTAATCTCAAAATATTTTTGTCCTGGTACTGTAGGTGGAGGCTCAGGGATATAAGGACCTGGTGCTACTGCAGGTAGTCTAGGTTTTTTAGGTGCTTTGCCTTCTTTAGCTACTTTAGGATCTTTAGGTGCTTTAGGAGCCATCTGTCCAAAAAAAGTAAAGATACAAATAATAACATCAGGACATTATCAAAAAGATCATTTAAAACTTCAACACCTAAGAAGGATTAAGTTCGACAAGTATAAAACAAAAACTTCAGCTCTAGAGCTGAAGTTCGACATGTATAAAACAAAAACTTCAGCTCTAGAGCTGAAGTTCAACAGTTACAAAAAAAACTTCAGCTCTAGAGCTGAAGTTCAACAGTTACAAAAAAAACTTCAGCTCTAGAGCTGAAGTTCGAAAGGTATAAAACAAAAACTTCAGCTCTATAGCTGAAGTTTACCAGTAACAAACACAAAAACTTCATCTCCTAAAGCTGGACTTCACCAGTTACAAACACAAAAAACTTCAGCTCCTAAAGATGGAATTCACCAGTTACAAACACAAAAACTTAATTCTGGTTCTCCATACAAGCACAAAACATTCAGCAAAAAAACAAAACACAAATTCAAAATCAAAAATAATGCCAAAACATGAAAAAAACTTCAGCTCCTATCTAATGTATCATTATCATCTGTTTAACTCTAATTTTTTTTAAAATTTGAACGTCTAATCACAGAAGAATTTATAGAATTTTCATTAACAACATAAACACTCGTTCAAAAAACCTAAAAATATAAACGTAAAAGTAAAACTAATGAACTTATCAAACTAAACCCTATCATAAATATATGACTATCAAACCCAAAACCAGAAATTAAATCGTAAAATAAAACCCAAAAACTTAATGCAATGTACCTGTGATTAAATCGTAATGTGGGAACAACAAGGACTAACAGTTGAAAATTCGAAACAACGACGAAAACCCTTTGATTTCAGAGAAGAGCAAATAAAAAAAACGCGAAATAGCGGGAGAGAGAGACAGAGACAGTAGAGAACTAGCGTATACTTGGAGAGAAAGTAGTCTTTTAATAAAGAAGGGCAAAATAGTCTTTTCAAATGGATTTAAAAAAAAAAACGGGTACGAGTACAAACAGAAAGACAAAGCGGCTACAGGTTAAAAAGGGGCGCCCGTGCAATTTTTACGAAAAAATCTAGACAAAAGTACCTAGCTGAAACACGGGAACAACACTGAAATTTTTCCGTTTTAAGGGTGTTTCCATTCAAAATTTATTTTCACATGAAAAAATTATTAAATTTTGATTACTTTTGAAATTATAACTAATTTTTAATTAGCAATTATAAATCAGACTATTTTTAATTTTTTTCAATAAATTAGTCCTGTATAATAACATGTGAAATAACTCATATACCTCCATTCGTAGTCTTGAACCATTAGGGTACCTAAACATTTAGTATTTCTAATATTTCAAGTCGTCCCACTATATATTTTAAAGGTATTTTAGCGTAGATCGCTCTTCAAATAAGCGACCTGCCTATTTTATGGATAATTGCAGTTTCGGTTTCTCTGGCTATTGATAAATTCTAACTTTAGTAAGAAATATGTTATATTTGGACTATTTTTGGAACTATATAACCGTCAAATATGAAGAAACTATATAAGCTTAACATAATATATATGAGTAATTAAGTGGTGGAACGATTGATAATTATGATAAATTTGTGAATATACATAAATAAAGGGATGAAACGTGCGTATTTTAATTAGAAAAGGGACATAAAGATATTTTTGTTTTCTATTATATTTATATTTATATTTTATATAGAAAAGGAAAGTGTGGTCGGCAAATTTGACATTTTGCTTATCCATAAAAATGTTTTCCGATACTAATTATCTCAATGCTCGCTGGCTTCTCTCAAATATAATTCTAGAAGAATCAGCTTTTATTTCTTTTGTTCCAAGGATGGAGAAACATTCCAAGCTTATATATTAGTTCATCAGCAAGGAATTAGAAGGTTTTCTATTTCTTCATCTTCTTCAAGTTTTTTAAAGATTTTTTCCCCTAACTTTTGCTTATTTTTTTCATGTATAGCTAAATTTAAGAAAAACGATTTATAATTTTGGATATGCTGTGTCAGATTTTTGGACTTTTTTGTTCCTGCTTGTATTAGTCCAATTGGATACAGATTAGCCAAGAGCAAGCAGGTGATCAACATACCTACTTGAGGACCATATGAGGTAGATTACTGTTGTGGTTCTTAAGGTTTGTTCTTATGCAATAATCCATGAATATTGAGGTTTTCTGTTTTTTTTGGGCTTATGGAGCATTTCAGGTAAGAACCAAAAGAGAGAGAGAGAGAGAGAGATATTTTGTAGTTTAGCATAAAATATTTTTTAGGTGATGTAATAATGTATTTGGCAAGTTTCTTGTTGCTCTTATGGAAGTTGCTGTAAATATTTTTTTTTTTTTTGTCAAAGCTGTAATTCCTTGCTCCTATGCATTGTAAGTATTTTTCTAATGAGCTATTTTGTTATCACGACATTATTTTAGTTTCTTTGTTCACTTTAACCCTTTTTGAGTTGGTGTCACTTTCACAAGTTTAATCAAAGTAGAATCTCACTACAAATCTAGATGGAAAGAGAAACATAGAAGGTGAAATATGTTAAGTTATCATCTGTACTCCTTAGATAGTCATAGTTACTTCTCTTTGGATCTTAGTTATAGAATAAGAATTATTTTAAGAGAACCACATTGAGTTTGAATTGACACATATCCTTGTAAAGAACTTTTTATGCAGTTTGTTATGGATTCTCTTGAAACTGAGTCTGCAGATGGTATTGAAAGTTAAAGATAGGTAATTGCACTTTTTCCTTTGAGTTCCTGAATATGCTAAGCCGATATTAGATTTTTGCAATATGTGGGTTTCTATAATATATAGTACTTTATTCCTCTATTGTGCTCACACACAGAGAGGCAAAGAGGAACATAAGAGAGGAGGTGTCTCGAATATTAACATGTAGTCCATTATCTTTTATTTTAGGTAATTCCCTCTAATTCAAGGCTACTGGTTTAGGAATTAGGATATCGATTTTCGTAGTATGATCAAATTATGGAGAATCTTTGCTCTCTGCTACGTGTATTTATGACATTAGTCATGATGAGTTCAAAGTTCAAACACTTACCAGGAAAAGTCCAATCTGTAGGTTGCTCTGTTTGTTTAGTTAGACAGGAGTTTATCCTTTTCTTCATTTGATTCTTAATTTGAAAAGTCCATTACTATATTTATGCCTTCGTTCGTGAATGAATTTTTCCCTTAATGAAATAAGAGCTTGGTTACCCCTAAATTTGCAATAGCAATGTTTGAATTTCAGAAGTGTGAATGCAATAACTACTTTGATTTCTTCATAAATTTCTATATTGTTTCTTTTGGAAGAACTTGGAGTATGGATGACTACTAATTGATTCGTTAGCCTAAAATTTGTAATATCGTGTGTAATAATTTATACTATTAATTGATTATTCTTCTGCATGTAAACTATTAGTGTTAAATCCATCTATTACAGCAACTTTTGATTATTAACTATAATATTTGAGTATCTAAATCTAAGATAGAAAACTGTTCCTTTACCTTTGTGTAGGTAGTTCACCTAATACCAGAAAGAAACTTATAAGATACATCAATTCCCATTTGTATGAAATTTTTCTAATGTATGCATAAAGGATAATGAATATGAAGTAATTATTGTAAGCCTTCTATGCGTAGTTCTATATTTAAAACTATAATTCCAAATCTTAGTCCAATTTTTGTCTCTCTATTTTACTCTATTGAATACAGAATTAGTTTTATTTTAATAATAATTTTTTAACTTGGTCTTTCTTTGCAGGTAGTATTTCCTATGATAATGTTGACCTCCTAAAGGAGATATATTGTTTATGTGAATATTAACACCTGGTTTGCTATCTCCGGATAATTTATACATGGTTTGCTAATCAAACAGAATATTAAGGTGATATTAAATTTTTATACCACCCTTATACCTTATTATCCCTCATACCAAATAACCCCTAATGTGTTACACATCAATATCATATTTATAGTGATTTAAAAAATATTACATGTCAATAAAAGGTTGTAAAATTTAAGAAATCTCACGAGTGCATTGAATTACGAGAATAAGCCATAAGAGGTTAACTATCGAGAATTTTTGGAACTTTTACAATGCATTGGCCAATATAGAAGCTTATATCATACACCCTATATAAGACAATGGGACAGAAAGGGTCATAAATTATATGCAACTTCATTGAAGAGGATGTTAGGAAGACATGAAATCATTGAAGGTAAATATTCTGTATATAATTGATTGTTGCTACTTTTGTTGACATAGTACCTGAAATTTGTTCTGCTCTGGGATCTAATAAAGAATAATGGGGATGTTTGGCATAAGTTTCTAATTCATTTTGGGACTTGAAATTAGTGATCTTCACGCACTTTTTTTTGTTGCTCCGGTATCGTTCGTATTCCATTTTGTTTTGCATTTATGTGGTAAAGCACCTAAAACATTTGATTTTCTTTTCTAGCCAGGCTTTGCAAGAGCGAAAATTTGGTGTAGCTTACCACAGTTTGAAGCCCCTACTAGAATTCATTACATTTAACTTCGCGATGCATTGTTGGACCTTTTTTTAAACTTTGTTTTCGTACTCCTTTATTTTTAATTATTATGGACAAAAATATGTGAAATCACCTATCAATTTCACTAATGAATTAAGTATAGGTATTGAATTAGTTCAAAGTGCCCATGAACATTATGTAATCCTTCTGAATTTATCTGCTAGAAGGATAAAAATATATATATATTTTGCAAACAGGATATATTAGATTGATCATTATGGAGTACTTTATGAACTGCATTGTTTTGTTCCCTTCCATTTATTATTTTAAGAATTCTTTATATTTATGAAATGTATTGCAAATAGACATAAAAAGAAATGTCAAGAACAGACTGAAAAAGAAAATAAAAAATATATTGACTAGGTCGTGGTTGGGCCCGTGCTATGCACGAGCTGTTCATATCTAGTATTATTATTATTATATAGAAAAGAGAAGAGGAGGCCGACCAAGGGTACCATGGGCATTTTAAATATATTACTGCACTGTTTGCTTGTATACTAGGCTCAAAGTGTGTGTTCTTACTGACGGAAAAAAACTTAACTAAGGTGGTCCTAAGCTAAGCTATTGAATTCTTTAGGTGGACCATACTTCCATTTAACCTTCACTATCCTCTTTAATTGCACTACTTGATTATTGTTATTAATATTTTTTCAGTAAGTGCTTTTAATTAAAAAAGTTTATCTTTTTGGTAATTTTATAATTCAAGCGTTCATTTGATTAAAACTATGGTAACATACATTTACATATAACTTTTTTTGTGTGATCATGAACAATACTTAGTATTACTAAACAAACGAAGTTAGGGGGGAGGGTGCTTTGGGCACCGGTGGTAGCTGTGGATTCATTGTATACTACTACTCGACTAGGATCCCTATAGGGATCACTGCTAGAACTACTACTTACTATAAAGCTAGGATCCTTAGAAGGATCTTGACAAAAACTAGAAGTACTACAACAAGAGTGTCGGGCAGAGGAAACTATATGGGGTGGGGTTACATCAAGGGGGGATGGGTTGAAGCAAAAAAACTAGAGTTGACAAGTCGTTACCTCTCCACTCCTGCTTGGTCAGCCATAACTTCCTTAAAGACAAAAGGTGGTGCAGTATCAAAAAGGTGTAGAGTGCTACCACAGTGTGACTTGGAACCATATTTAGCTAATCCATCGGCTACCATGTTAGCCTCCCTATAAATATGGCAGATGGTAGGATCACCCAGCTGCCGAAGTTGTAACCTGCAATCATGAATTAAGTTAGTGTAACGGGGGTTATTCTTTTGTAGTAAGGTGATTTCCTCTTTTGCATCAATATTAATCTCTAAAGGCCAGTAACCATATTGTAATGAGAGACGTAAGCCATAGAGCAAAGCAGTGAGTTCCATTTGTATGTTGTTTGCAAATGCAATATTACCCGAGAAGCCTAGTTTCCAATCACTAGTTGATGATCGTATAACCCCTCCGATGCTATTGACTCCGGGCGTCCAGGAGGCTGCCCCTTTTGTATTGAGCTGATATAAGTTTTAAGCATGAGGATTGTAACGACCCGACTGGTCGTTTTTTTTAGCAATTGCGTCCGGTTCGGCAGTTTGAGGTCACGAGTAGCTTCACGCGGTGTATTATGACTTGTGTGCATCATCGGTTCGGGTTTTTGAGAAGTTCGAAAAGGATTTTTAGGAGCGACTCTCATTTGAGAAGCTCGAAGTTCAAAGAATTGATCAGGTTTGACTTTTGAGTATTTGACCTCGGATTGGAGTTTCGATGGTTCCGATAGGCTCGGGTAGTGATTTTGGACTTAGGCGTACGTCCGGATTTGAATTTGGAGGTCCGTATGGTAATTTGAAGCATTTCAGTGAAAATTGGAAAGTTGAAGTTTGGAAGATTGAGAGGTTTGCCCAAGAGTTGACTTTGGTGATATCAGGGTAGGAATGTGATTCCGATTGCAAAATTTGGTGTCATTTGGAGTTGATTGATATGGTTCGAAGGCTTGGTTGCGATTCTAGAAGTTCTTGAAGTTCATGATGATTTTCATGTTTTTTGGCATCCGATTCATGGTTCTGGAGGTTATTTTGGTGTTCCGATCGCGCGAGCGAGTTTGTGTTATGTTCCCAGACTTATGTGGATGTTTGGCATAAAGCCCCGAGGGCTCGAATGAGTTTCATACGCATTTCAGAGTGTTTGGAAGAAGGTTCAGAATTGCTGGCGTCTGATCTAGCGTTTGCGAGTTGAGGTTCGCATTTGCGACCACCGTTTTTGCGGACTTAGGATCGCTTCTGCAAAGAGGCTGGGGACTGGCAGGCTTTGCATTTGCCGAACCAGCCTCGCAAATGCGATGGTTAACTGGGCAGTGGAAGTTCGCTTTTGCAAACATTTGGGCCGCTTTTGCGAAGGACCCATTTTCGCATTTGCGATCTATTTCATTGCATTTGCGATAGAGGTATGGCTGTTCAATTTTCGCTTTTGCGAAGTAATGGCTGCTTTTGTAGGGCTCGCATTTGCGAATCCTATGTCACAAATGCGACATTTGCAGCCTGCTAATAACTGGGCATTCCGAGTCTTAGCTTCATTTTATTATATTTTGAACCCTAGGTCCGAGAGTGCGCGATTTTGAGAGATGATTTTCATATCAAATCATTGGGTAAGTAAGTCTAATCAATTTTCAATTATATTTTGTGATTATACCTTAGATTTAACATCAAATTCATGAGAATCTAAAGGAAAATTTGGGAAAAATTGCAAATTTTTTTAAAAATATAAAATGATGATTTGAAGGACAAATTGGTATCGGAAATTGATTATTTTTGTATGGTTGAACTCGTATCGGAATGGGTATTCGAGTTTTGTAAATTTTATCGGGTTCCGAGGTGCGGGCCCGGGGAGTTGACT